CATCTGCAGTTTGCTAAAGATCATGTCGACAAGCCAGAGGAATACTGGAGAAATGTTTTGTGGATGGATGAGACCAAAATAGAACATTTTGGTTTAAATGAGCAGCGTTATGTTTGGAGAAAGAAAACACTGCATTCCAGCATAAGAACGTCATCCCATTTGTGAAACATGGTGGTGATAGTATCATGGCTTGGGCCTGTTTTGCTGCATCTGGTCCAGGACGGCTTGACATCATTGATGGAACAATGAATTCTGAATTATACCAGCAAATTCTGAAGGAAAATGTCAGGACATCTGTCCAAGAACTGAATCTCAAGAGAGAGTGTGTCATGCAGCAAGACAACAACCCCAAGCACACAAGTCGTTCTACCCAAGAATGGTTAAAGAAGAACAAAGTTAATGTTTTGGAATGACTGAGTCAAATTCCGGACCTTAATCCAATTGAAATTTTGTGGAAGGACCTGAAGCAAGCAGTTCATAGGAGGAAACCCACCAACATCACAGAGTTGAAGTGGTTCTGTACTGAGGAATGGGCTAAAATTCCTACTAGCCGTTGTGTAGGACTGATCAGCAGTTACAAGAAACGTTACTTGCAGTTATTGCTGCAAAAGGGGGTCACACCAGATACTGAAAGCAAAGATTCACATACTTTTGCCACTCACAAATATTATAAATAATAAAGTATATATTTTTGTCTCCTTTGTTTGATTGGATTCTCTTTGTCTACTTTCAGGATTTGTGTGAAAATCTAATTATGTTTTGGGTCATATTTATGCAGAAATATAGAAAATTCTAAAGGGTTCACAAACTTTCAAGCAGCACTGTATATAAACTAGTGCTGGGCAATGATTAATCTTGATTAATCGCATCCAAAATAAAAGTTTTTGTGTACATAATTTATGTGTGTGTACTGTGTATATTTATTATGTATATATTAGGGCTGTCAGTTTGTTAACTTAATTAATTGGTTATGAAAAATAACGCGATTAAAATATTTTAATGCAGTTAACGCAGTGGCCCCGCCCCCAGACCTGTACATAATCTTACATTTCATATAGTTGACTGTTGACAAATATGATGCTGGGCAACAACTCCAAAAATGCAGGTATGCCCTAAAATTCAACGTATGGGTGCAAAAAATGCCCCTGTATGTGTTTTTGTCTCATATTTATATCGATAAGTGATATTAACGTTACACAAGCAGCGAGAGCAGTAGTTATCAGACGAGTGCTGTTTGTCCCGAATATCACGAGTTTAAATGTGATTTTATACAACAGTTCAGTAAATAAGAAGTTGATATTGTGTTATATTTTAAACACAATATTATGTGTTTTTTCTCAATTTTGCATAGAATATATTACCTTTAAGGCCATAGCAGAATTGTGCGTCTCAGAGCAACACAGCGTTGTTTAGGCTGCATCTGAAAACGTAGGCAGCTGACTTTGCAGGCAGCGTTTTTGCACGAAGGCACCTCATGAAACTGATTTCGAACAGGCTTCTGAGGCAGAGTAACGGTTTAATGATCTACAGCAAAATATAGAGAGCTTTGGTGATAACTAAGTGAATATTTCATTACTGCAATATTAATTTTTCGCTAGAAATGACATCAAAAGTGGAAAACATTGATCAAAAACATACATTTACACACAAAATGACCTCCGACCACAACTTTCAGACGCCATCTTTATTTTTTAGCTTAACTTTCACAGAAAGGAACGCACAGGATTGTGGGATATCAAAGGCAGCGAAGGATACATTTATGCTGCCTTCAAAAATTGGCCAGATGAAGGCATCTCAGGAGACAGGAACTGAAGCTAACATTGAATTCGGACATGCCTTGATGCCTTCCTACCTTGGAATGCGTCCTCCGAAGGCAGCATTTTTCAGTTTTCGGATGCAGCCCTAGTTTCAGAATGAATCCATGTTTTGAACGAATCGAGTGAATCAATTATTCAAAGACCCATTCATAAAGAGAGAGCCGTTTACTTCTTTCCTGAATGAATCAGCCGTTTGAACAAATCATAAAGGCATCTACCGCCACCTGCTGGCAAATTTAGTTTCTTATTTAGAGTATAATTTCATTAAAAAAAATTAAATAAATAAAAACATTAAAGGGATAGTTCACCCAAAAAAATTACAATTCTGTCATCATTTACTCACCCTCATGTCGTTTCAGAACTTTCTTTTGTGGAACATAAAAGAAGGTATTTTGAAGACTGTTGGTAACAAAGCTGTTTTAGTTACCAATGACTTTCATTGTATGATCAAAAATACAATGTTTCTCAAATTATCTTCTTTTATGTTCCATAGTTTACGTTAGGCCGTTATAGCCTAAATGCTTATGTGTAATTCATTTTATGTTGAATCAAATAAAATATTTCTTTCTAAAGCTACAATTTGTAATTGATACTTTCTCATTTAACAAAAATAGCTGTAAATAATCTTTTGTGGGTATTTTCACAGTCAAATATATTTTGCGATTAATTAGATTAATTAATAGAAGCATTATGTAATTAATTAGATTAAAAATGTTAATCTACTGACAGCCCTTGTATATATAAATACACACACATGCATGTATATATTTAAGAAAAATGTTATATTAAATATATTTATATATAATATAATTATATGAATATAAATGTATGTAAATGCATGTTAATATTTTTTAAATGTATACTGTATGTGTGTGTCTTTTATATATACATAATAAATATACACAGTACACACACATATATTATATAAACAAAAACTTTTATTTTGGATGCGATTTATCGTGATTAATCGTTGCACAGCACTAATATAAACGTAAATAAAATATAGTCTAACATCAGTTCTTTCTATCTCTGTCTGTTTTTAGCAGTCTCAGAGGTCGTCTCACACATTGCAGTCTCTTCAGGGAGCACTGCCTGCATCTTTGTATAATACCATGATGATCTCTCAGCCGGCGCAGGCCAACGTTGTCCAGATCTCCTCAAGCTTGGCCCAGAACAGCAGCCCCAGCGGAGCTGCGGTCGCCACCTTCGCACAAGACCGGCAGATACGGTACATGTGCAGCTGTTACAAACACACACTGAGACTTTGAAACATGAAGGGCATGTACACAGTTTAATAAGCACATTAGAATACTAGACTAGCTCAAAAAATGATCATTAATCTCATCTCTCCTCCATTTCCTTTTTGTATATATAGCTCCTATAGCTATGGAAACCTATTGGTTATTTATGAATGAACAATAAAACATTTTTCAAAAATGCCTCTGGACTCCTGACCATGTCACGGTACAACTGGTCCCAACAGAAACTCATAACAAAGCTAACTAATAACTTGCCGTCCTGCCTCCCACAGGTTCCCTGCTGCCCCACAGCTCCTCACTAAGCTAGTAACCGGCCCAGTGGCGTGTGGTGCAGTTATGGTGCCTACCACCATGTTCATGGGGCAGGTGGTGACTGCGTTTGCCTCGCAGCAGGGCCAGGCTCAAACAATCAGCATCACCCAGCAGCCGTCTGCGCAGACGCCGGAGCAGCAGGCGCAAACACAGTCACAGACAGCTACAGGAACAGCCCAACAGCAAGGACAGGCCCAGGCTCAGCTTGCCCAGCAGCAAACACAATTCCTACAGGTACCACACGATTCTCACAATTTCTGTTTCATACCGACTTGAATAGAAAATGGATGGATAGGGTGGCTGTGACGATTTTTTGTGAATAATGACCTAAACCTCTGTGTCTTCCACATGCAATGCTATTAGAAGATCTGGAATACAGCATAGAAGTTCTATGGAATGCTTTTATAGTGCATCTTGATTTGAAGCTTAGAAGTTGAATGAAAGAAGGGCAATTTATTCCAAAAATGTTTAAAATGTCATTTTCAAAATGCTTGAAATTTTTGACTGCTGTTTCTTTATTTGAAAAAAATAATTATCTGTGTAGCTGATATTTACAATGTATATTTTCAGTTATTTTAAAATTATAAAGTATTAAAATCACATGATAGGTTTATTAAATGTTAAACATTTTGGAAAATATATTAAATATACACTACCATTCAAAAGTTATTGTTTTGGGGTTAAGAGTTTAATGTTTTTGCAAGAAGTCTATCCAAAGTATACTTCCTTTTTGCACGCATACGCTAGCGTATACAGTCAAACGTGTAGCCTTTCAATGTATACTCCATTTGATGTTGTGCGTGAACGCGGACGGTCAACACATGCGCTCTAGAAAGCTTCATCCATGTCCAGTGTCTGCTCTAATTTTCCCCATAAGTTATGACCGATAACAAATATTTTTGAACTCTTTTAAACCAAAGCTGGGCTATCTCATACCCTCTCGCTCACAAGTGCTTGGCAGTGTGGTTGTCTGTTGTTATTGCGGTCTTCGCTATTTTTTTTGTAGATATTTTTTAGAATGTCCAGATATGGAAAACCATGGAATTCAATAGGGTGTCCTAACTTTTTCAGATGACCGTATAATATTGGTCATGTTGATTATTGGACATAACATGAAACTAATTATTGTCTTATTGGTATCAACCAGGAATTCAATATCACTACATCCCTGCCATATATAATAACGTTTCGTGCTTCCTCCCGCAGGCCCCTCGGCTTTTACATGGCAACCAATCTGCCCAGCTGATCCTTCAAGCAGCGTTTCCCCTGCAGCAGCAAGGCACCTTTGCAGCCGCAACACAACAACAACAGCAGCAACTGCAACAGCAGCAGCAACAACTGCAGCAGCAGCAGCAACAGCAGCAACAACAGCTGCAGCAGCAGCATCAACAACAACAACAACAGCTGCAACATCAACATCAACAACAGCAGCAGCAGCTGCAGCAGCAACTGCAGCAGCAACTGGCAGCTCATCGCTCAGACAGCATGACAGACCGGTCCAAAGCACCACCTCAGTAGCTGACCGCACGTCAGGGACACAACCCAATCTCCACTGAGCAGTCCTGCAGGCTGAGGGGCTTCTGAGGGGGATGTTTGGAGCTAAAAAATAGCAGTATTTTGTACTGTACCCTCTCAGATACCCTTCCACTGCTTATAGGTGAAGGGCCAGACCTAAACGGGTGTTGTTTTTTCACCCCATGCCCTCTCCGACCTATAGGTAGTTGATCAACGGCTGCTTGCACTGAATTCTGGGAGAGGTCTGACCACGAAAGCCCAACTTTCTGCTGGCTTGCGAGGAAACAGCAGCGTCTGGTTTTCCGCAAACTGTCTCCTCCACAATAGCCGCATCCCCTTTGTCTCGTATGCCCAGTGTGTGCCGTCATCCCTCTTTCACAGGTTTAATTTATGCAGAACGAGCCGCAGTGAAGGCTTCAATACTTAAAGAAGTCCCGCAGGACAAACGGCGTCTTTCTCTTGGCCTCTCTTTCTCTTCCTCTTTCCTCCTCATTTTACTTGTCGCAAGTAATTATGGGTCAGAAAATATTTTTAAGATTATCACGTGGATTCAACTTTTATTGTACAGTTCACCTGTAAAATAATGTGTAAATATAGGGACAAAAGGAAAGAGAAACTAATATTTTATATGATGCATGAGACAAAAAGCGTAGTCTGTTATTTGTAGCTTTGAATATACTTTTTTTTTCTAATATTCAGAAGAAAAAAGCAAAACTTAAAACACATAATGGCTGATCTCTTCACAGACTTCCTTTTTCCAGTGGGATGGGGGTGAGTGTGTGTATGTGCTTGCGCACATGTGTTCGTATGTGTGTGTGTCTGCCAATGCTGGATCCACAGATAGTGTCACAGTTGGTTTAAAACGGCCTTCGTGTTTTAGTAACACTGTTAAAGGAACAGGCAATCTTTAGATGTTTTGCATCGTGTTATACACCTTAGTAATTGCAAACATATAGATATATTTCAGAGAGATGTTTTACATTTGTAAATAGTTTAAAGAGAAGGCTTCAGATTTAGTATATCATGCGATTAGGCGGGGAAAAAAAAAGTAGGAAATGGCGCTTACGGCTGGCAGCGGCATCGCAACATTCGCTATTATGTACCGATGATAGCTACATACTCTGCCAAACTGGAACTGATGCTTAAAACAGCAAGGTTATGATGAGGAAAAATATAATCGCATAGGATACAGGTAAATTAGCTTCAGGCTAAGCCATAGCTTTCTCTAGTTTTACAATGGTTTACATGGTTGTTTACACTGTTATACAGTGTTTTAGGTATGATTCACTAAATAGGTTTGAGTAACCAGAAATATTTTACACAACCAAACCTGTTTATTATCTAGAGATAGTAAATTATCACATATTTGCACAGCTTTAATGCAGGAATACTGTCACTTGCCTTTCTTGGGTCTCCACTCGTTGACAAATGATGACATTTCAATGATAGCAACTTGACTTTGCAACCTCCTTCCACTCAGCTCTGGAAAAGCAGGAATGTATCGGTTCACTAGTACCTCTGTAACTCTGACATAGTCACTAGCAACTTCTAGCTCGTTGTCCAAAGCACAGAAAACAACCCTAATGTTGACAATCTGATTCTGTTTATTGGCCTCTGTAGTGTTACAATTAAAATAAGCCAGACTGTAGTTGATTAATTTGATATTTAAACTGTTTAACTGTGTCTTCAGGATCTTGAGATTTATATTTATGCTTGACAAGACAGTAATTGCTAGAATGAAAGCTTCCCCAAAGTTGCTCAATGGGACGTTGTTAGTAGTTAACCATCATGAATGTTCAAAAGTAATAATTATGTTTTCCTCTATATGATGGATGGAACCCTTTTATTCTTATGAAGAAATCTTAAACACTATTTTTTTTATTTTTTTTTTATAAAAGTCACTTTTATCAACAGGTAGCACTTATGGATGACAGTTTTTGTATTTTTTGTATTGGTCTTCTTAGACAAGATCGTGTTATTAATTGTTTTAATTATTATTCTAATCATCAGAAGTAAGCGCACTAATGAGCAATATTGCCTCTTCAGGTTAGTATGAGTAGACCCCGGTGTAGTTCATTCCAATATTTTCAATATCAAACCTCACTATATATGAAAGTGAATGTTTTGTTTGTGCGGGATGTTATTGCATCTTCAGGTTAGTACGAGTAGACCCCGGTGTAGTTCATTCCAATATTTTCCATATCAAACCTCACTATATATGAAAGTGAATGTTTGGTTTGTGCGGGATGTTAAATCCAACCACCCGGAGTGCTGGTCCAATCACAGTTCATGTTGCAGTATCCACTCAATAGCAGAATAACTCATGTGATCTATGATAATGCAGTATGATAATGTAATCTAACTCATCCTATTGTTCTTCTACCCTTCGAGACGGTCCTACGGTCTATGACGGTCATTAATGTGTTGGTTTCTGTGGTCGTGTAAAAGTGATGGATGGCTGTACATTTAAATACCACAGAAATTTTATGACGGCACGGCTAGAATGAGCAAGGCGAGATTATTGATTGAATGTAAAACTGTCACTTAGCTTTATAGTAACATTTAAAGAACATTATAAAGAGGAATATATTGAAAATTAGATGTTCTTATTTTTCTACGGCAAGGTCAGAACAGAGAATTTATGCAGATAGACTATAGCTGGTGTATAAAACAGCTGTTATACACCTTTTGCTAGGAAAGGGAACAGAAAATTAAGCTTACTCCATATTGTAACCTCAAATGAAGGAGTTAAACAAACTGTGACACACTGGAGGACCAGTTGAACTTTCTCCCCACAATGCAGTTGGATTAGGAAGTGGTTATTTTAAGGTTTTTAAGGAGTAAGAGAGGTCTTTGATGTTTGCTACAGACTCCTGCTTATGTTTTGGGGTACTTGAAGGTAATAATTTTTTTTTTTTTTAAACAAATCTTGCTTAAAAAGTATAGGACACCTATACAAATTCAGGCCGGGTCGAAAATGACCTTCTGATGCATAGTGCATCCTCTCGCACCGGCATCAGATGGCAGTTGTTGACGCGTGATGATGTTTTAGAGTACAAGGGGTTGTTTTTCTGTTTTCTGCACTGATTTATATTATGTCAGCCCTAAGGTAACAGAAATACTACAGCTTCCTCAGGTTGGTTCAGAATAATAATAAACCCACATCAATCTCGCCCCTCCTTTCTCTTCCTCACTTGATCTTGTGACAGTGACCTCTTCAAAAACACACATTCTTCTGCATTTACACACACACACACACACACACACACACACACACACAAAGAGGACATCCAGATCTCATGCACACTAGTTTTCCTGAGAGGACAGACCGTTGATCTGACACACAGGTGCATTATGGGAAAATGAGGGTTTTTGCGATACAAAATGGTTGCCTTCTACAGTATGTACCTCTGAATTGTCTGTGGTGCTCGATGCAACTCCATGTCAGCTGGCGTTTTAACCCAAAGAGCTTTGAGAAAGATGGGAGAAAATGGCAAAATCCTGTTGAATTTGTTTTTGAAATATTAAAAGCGCCCAGTGGAAAAGGAGGTGGTGAACCATGTTAAATATTCTGTAGTTCTGATGTACGCACTAGAAGTTCTGAATGTCTATCAGTGTTCTATTGCTATCATTTAATCTTTGTACGTGTGATGTTCTTTGCAAAGCACTTGTGTTTGGCTCATGAAATGTATCTGGTCAGTACACATTAATATGGAGGAAAAATAGCAAACTATTTAATTAAACCAATAAATAGGTTTAAACTCTCACCATTGTTAGGTTTTATCCAATTTTAATGCTCCATCAGGGGCTACCAGAGCATAGCTCTGTTTTCCTAAACTCAATTAAAAAAAAGAAAAGAAATCTGTCCTATCAGAAAACAGTGTGCTGTATTGGGTTCATTTTGTGAGCCAGGCCATTCTTACATTTAACAATGAAATAATGGAAACTTTTTAAACAAACAGTGCCGTTTACTCCCCTTATTCAATTTTGAAAATAAAATTATTTAAATATATATATATATATATATATATATATACATATACATTGTATTGACTGTTTTTATTCCTATATTTTTGGGTGTGATTGTTTTCCTCTAAATAAGTTTCATAAATTAGATTTGTGCTTTGGTTGAAGGGATTTTTCCAGTGAGTCAATTAATCATTCACTCAACCGATTCATTCAAGTAAAGATTCAAATCAGGAATAACTACGCCACTGTTGCTAGGAGACGATCACCAAATCCAAACTTTGGAAAACAAGACAAACATCCCGTTAAAAATGTAACTCGTGCTGCGTTCTCGCCATGTCGTAATAGACTATGCACAATCACTTCCACGTTTTGCCTCAGCAGCCAGCTCAGTTACATCTGATGCAGTGCCAGAATCCTTGACCCATCTGTCTGCTTGTTTGTCCATAGCGAACATAGACTTCTTTGTAAATACACAACAATGTATGGGGGGCGTAGGGGGTCTGGATAGAGGTAGTACCTTTGCTGTCCGGCAGCTGCACCCTACCTGGTAGGGTGGACGGGCAACACTGGTCCTCATCCATCTCCTAAATCTCTCACGTGCTGGCTCCACGTGCCACACCCTGGCAAACCGCCTCAGCTGGCGGGCTAAACCACGTGAGGGGGTGGTGTTCACACTGCACCACTAGGTGGATGAGCTTCTTCTGGCAGCCAAATGTACTGCTCTGCATTCCTTTGGACTACATCGGTGAGGCCGAGAGGGGGATCTCGACAACTGGGCATCCCACGATCTCCATACACTCCGCCCAGGCTTGTGCCCTGTAGAGGTCACTCCAGTATCGCTGTTCCAGTGACGACACAACACGGGAGACGGCAGTTACGAGTTATAAGCCCAGAGCGGATTGGCGCAAGCTACGGGTTGTCTCCGATGGTGGGAGGGATCATTGTGTCCCACTGGTCAGCTAACACCCGCCTTAAGCTGGGCAGCCCCCAGTCAGTAAGGTGCTGACCCGCCACAGTCTGTCTGCTTCAACGGGTGCTTGGAGCTTAGGGATACGACCAAAAAGCAGACTGCAAAACCTGCATCAGGCAAAATAAGAAGGAAAAAAAAACAAACAGCCAGCCCTGTGGCTGGTAAGCTGGAATGTCAGAACCATGTGCCCTGGCCACTCTGACGAACTACAACAAGTTGACGACGCCAGGAAGACAACCATCATCAACCATGAGCTGAAACGACTGGACATCGACATTGCTGCTCTACAGGAGTCCAGACTCCCTTCCAGCGGCAGCCTCAGAGAATAGGACTACACGTTCTTCTGGCAGGGAAAGGAGCCTGAGGAGCCTCAAATACACGGCGTTGGATTTGCAGTGAGGAACTCCATGCTGTCCTCAATTGAGCCGCCTTCTGCAGGTATGCCCAGAATCCTCTCTCTCCACCTCTCGACCTCTTCAGGTCCAGTCAACATCCTGAGCATCTATGCTCCTACACTCTGCTCCTCAGAAGAGTCAAAGGACGAATTTTATGAAGAGCTTGAGATCACCATCAAAGAGATCCCTACCACAGGACACCTGTTCCTACTTGGGGACTTCAACACCTGGATCGGAGACAACCACAACTCCTGGCCCCGTTGTATCGGCCATTTTGGCATTGGCAAGCTTAACGGAAATGGACAGAGACTGTTAGAACTTTGTTCGTACCATGACCTGTGCATTTCAAACACGTTCTTCTCAACCAAACCCTGCCATCGAGTGTCCTGGCGACACCCCAGATCCTGTCACAGGCACCAGCTGGATCTTGTCATTACCAGAAGACCCCTGCTGAACTGCGTACTTACTACCCGCAGCTACCACAGCGCCGACTGTGACACTGACCACTCACTGGTTGGGAGCAAGGTACGCCTTCACCCCAAGCGGATCCACAACTCCAAGCAGAAAGGACGGCCACGTATTAACACAGCCCTGACATCAGTCCCAGAAGTTTGCACACGCTTTGCCAGTGCCATTGAAGTGGCCCTCAAGGAATGCCCAGACAACAGCGCTGAAGAGAGATGGAGCCATATCCGTGACGCCA